CCTGCCGAGCAGGGAGCCCGATGCGGGACTCGATCCTGGGACTCCAGGATCATGACCTGAGCCGAAGGCAGTCGCTTAACCAACTGAGCCACCCATAGCCTCTTCTTTCAATCGCCAAATCACACACTCTAAATTCTGGTCCTTCTCAATCTCATCCTCTAGGCTTTATCAGTTTTTTCTTCCAAAACCCACAAAACAAACTGCCTGGATCAAAACCTGACATCTGGAAAAGCTAAGATAGGCCAATGTGCCTGAAGCACAGGTTCCTGGGATGTATGCACCTGCTAGAAACTGGTCTGTCTCCACCATCTCCTTTTCAGAGGCCACCAACAGTCTTCAGATGTTAACGACTTCCAGCTTTTGGTGGCTTGTGACTCATTTGAATGTGTAACCTGGAGGAGAAAGCTGCCATACACTTGTATGGCAGCCGCACATTACCCCAAAGTTATTTTTAAAGTTTACAAGCCTGGTTCAGCCTCCTTAAAAGTCCCCCTTAAGCCTACAAAAGCAAATTCAAAGTGAAGGACAAAAGTTTTCAGGCAGTAGTTAAACCGTTAGCTATGCTATTATACCTTTGTTGCCCTGTCCCCTGGCAGCCTAACAATTAATCTTTTCAGAAGAGAGGAAAAATGAGTTACACACAGGAACTACAGAGCTTACAGCAGCCCTGTGCTATTAATTTTAATAACATGAAAAGATAAACATATGTCACTCACTCATAGCCAAATGAGCATCTACAGAGCCCTGCCCTGGTGTACATCTAAAATTTATAACTCAGGTTTCTTTACCTAAGACATTTTAGGCCATTTAAATATTTTCACATTGCTTAATCAGAAAAAATATGGGTATATAATTTTATTCCACTCATTTAAAAATAAATGCATTTAAAATATTTGTAAAACGACAGGTCATTTTCTTAGCTAGTGCCACCTTCCTTCATTTTTAAAACCATAAAAGACGAAGCAAGAACAAGATTATACAACCTCTTATTTTATGTATTTTTTCAACATACTCTAGCTCCTGGAAGAAAAGAGATGATTTTATTTTTTCATCCTAAATCTTCTTCTGAAAAGCTTTTATTCTCAGTTTCATATGATACAACTGAATCAAATGCTAAAAGAATGAAACACTCTCTCCCGCAATTTCTTAAGCATGCGTCTAGAAAAAAAAATTACTGCTGGCAGGAGGAACTGTCAGTATGAATCTCAGCAGAAGTAAATTGTTTGGTATTTGTAATGGAGTATAATAGCTATAATTCCACTTGAGTTGCTGCCACTAATAAGCTGATAAAAACTGTGAGTTGAGACCCAGGTGTCCATCAGTCTATGGCTTCCACAAATGTCCCTGCACATTCACTTAATCACAGAGACAGGTAACCCAATCCCTTTAGAAGTACTGTGTCTGACAATGAGGGGCCCAAGCTGGCTCTTCCCACAAAGAGAATTCAAAAGCACAGCTGCATACTGACTCCAGAGGAGTTTTCTTATCAGCAATTACCAGGAATTTTCTTAGACGTTTCCAGCTCCTGCAAAGTTGTAAGACAGTAACTTAAATGTGCTCACCATTAGAAATGGGCTAGGTGAAAACACTTCTTTCTCATGAAAAGTAGTCACCAAATCAAAAATGACTCAGAAATTAAAATATACTGTCTCACATGCTTCAGGATTGTGACCCTAATGCTCACCTGTTGCCAAAAAGTTGATTTAGTAACAAAGCATTTCTACTTAAATGATTAAAAGTCCGAATACACTGTTTTGTTTGTGTGTGAAGGCAAAAACAACTGGAATCCAGAACTGTGTGTCATCACATGAACATTTTAACAAGAGTAAAATAAAGAGTAATATCTCTCATTGGAAATACTGGCCCAGGGAGTAAAGAGGCTTGAGGTCCAGTCTTCTGATTTGCTGAGTGATCTTACACACATCACTTAAATGCAATTGCCTACAAGTTTTTATATGGAGAAAATGGAGTAGAAATAATAATGTTGTAATGAAAGCATGGGCTTTGTTGGCAGGAGAGCTTTGAAAAGTAGCTGGTATTTGGCAAGTTTATTTTTTATTTAACCTGTTGAATAAAAAGCATAATGTACAATTATGCTCATTCTATTAATGATCAAATAAATGGCGCATGCAGGAAACATTAAACCTTTATGTAAATATATCGTCCTCAGGAGCCTGAACTCCTGAACAATGCTCATCTCACACACTCACTCTCCAATGTGAATAGGTGCACTGCTGAGCTTACGCAGGCTTTCGGAAACAGCACATGTCCACATATGAGTAACTGTTCTATCTCAGTATCCCGGAGTCCTGCAGAAGCTGTAACAGCCCCAGAACAAGGAGGAAAGTCTTAGAAGAAGGAAGAGTGTTCTATAGCACTGTCTGCAGAATAAAAAAACTACTGTACTCATACATATTCGCTTCAATTGTGTGTTGTTCCTACCATTTTTTTCATGAAGAGATGCTTGTGCTATGTTCTCAACAATGTATTTTCTTCTGGCTTCTGAAATATTTAGTAAACAAGCAGCCAAACGGAGCCCCATGGAAGAAGACATGGTGATTTTTCTAGAATAGGAAAAAAATTATTGTTCATTTTGGTCTGTATGGCTCATTCATATTTTCATGTTCATTAACCATAAATATAGTTTTTGGAAACCAGACAGTCATAATATGAACACTTCACTATTTTATTCCTGGAGAACACCTAAAGGAAAAAATCCTCAGATTGAGTCAACCAAGAAACCATGTGTATGCGGTCATGCACATATGAACCTACAAACATAGTAACAATACTAGAAAATATAGGGCAAGTTACTCAGCCTGAATTGTCATGCAAATGAAAGTACTTGTTAAAGTATTTTATTCCCTTTTAAACACCATTTTCCTTAGATTATCCCCATTTTCAAGGTCTATACTACTTAACATATAAGCTTAATCCTCGTTAAATGAGATTTACTAGGGAAATGTAGAAAAGGGAAATGAACAAAATTCTTATAAAAACTACTTTTCTGGCAAAAAGAAAAGTTATCTCTATGCGCCATGCTATAGGCAATATGTGAACAAATAAAAAGGACTCATTTGGGTGCTGTAAGATACCAGGTGTTTAGACAACTATTTGACTAAATTCCTCTCATACTTTAATCCCCAAAGTTCCTTTATGAGTTTAAAATCTTTTCACAGGACTCTCTTCCTTGAACTAAATCTGACATATATTCTATAATGAATCAATAATGCCAGAAACGTGACTGATGCCCTTTTGTTGAAAGTGGATTAATTACAAAATAATTCCCCTTTTCAAGATCAGGCCATATTTTGGTCTCTTTTAAATATAACTAAACATGGCCCTCACGAATTCATTCAACAAATTATTTCATAAGGGTTATCTTGTATCAGGCAATGTTCTCAGGGTGAGGAATACCAGAGTGAATGCTGTCCAAGTTTGAGACAAACGTTAAGCTTATGAGTTTAAGCTAAACTGTGCTCTGGTGCAAATAACAGTGCAGTCGATGCATAAATGCTCTGGCTTCTGTTCACTAGGATTTTCATTGGCCTGATCGTCCTAACCTAGAGGGAATGCAGGACTCCGTGGCTAGTTTGGGTTTGTAAGCAACTTTTCATATCGTGACCACCATCTCATGACTGAAAATTAATTAAAATATGGCCATTAGGTTTTTGTAGACATTAATAACATCGTTGTAATAAAGCAGCTCAGACCTCTCTCGTTTCTGTGTAAACAAAAAATTGCTTTACACAAGGGGTGTGGGCGTCTTCTGGCTTTCATTTGTTTTCAGTGTGTTTATGTAGCTTAATTGTCTCATCAGGCACTTTCCCAACATAATTATGCTTTTTAACAAATGGTGTTTATGGCAACCCCTAACAGTGCAAAAGAAAGGATTAGTTTCATCCTCTCATTCCACATTTTGATTCCCTGTGGACAGTAAAATCACACAAAGATGGTGTTAGAAAAATCTACCTTCACAGCAAAAGCTGAAATTAGCGGCCACCAGGCTCTTGGAGAGCAGTCAGGCTTGTTAGCAAAAAGGGTAAGTGTTTCCCTGCCTCTTCCACTTACAAAGTAACCCAGAGCAACCTCGCAAACAGTGGTTTGGAAGAATGCGCTCCTAGTCCGCCCATCCCTCCAATCACAATCCAATTACTTCCGGCCATAAACTAAAAAACTGCCTCCCCATGGGGAAGTAGCAAGGCCAGCGCCCAGTGGAGCAGTTCGCGACAGTTCCGCCAGATCACCTGCCTCCCGGCGCACACACCACCGTTCGCGCTCTTAAGGCCGCAAAAAGGCTCGCCGAGGGGGCGGTAGTGCGTGCTGAGGTGGGAACCCGCCGCTGGGATGCCCTGCGTGGCCCCGCCCCGGTTCCGGTGTGGAGTGGCTCAGGGCCACGTGGGCAGAAGGCTAACCCGAGGGACTCGGCGCGGGCCTTAGGGCAGTCTCCCGCTGCCCCGCGAGGCCCGCCGGGAGCAGCGTCTGCGGGCCGCGGGGCCCGGGGGCGAAGGACGGTCGCGG